CCGCATTCCTCACCCCAAGAGGAACCTATTGCTATAAGGTTATGCCCTTCGGGCTGAAGAATGCGGGGGCAACTTACCAAAGACTAGTCACTACCATGTTCAAGGAGCAACTCGGCCGTACTATGGAAGTGTATATTGACGATATGGTGGTCAAGTCCAAAGAAGAGCAAACTCATCTAGCCGATCTAGAAGAGACATTCGGCATTTTACGCAAGTACAAAATGAAGCTGAACGCTGCCAAATGTGCATTTGGGATCGGATCCGGCAAATTTCTTGGCTTCATTGTTAACCACCGCGGAATCGAAGCCAACCCGAGGCAAATCACAGCAATTTTAGAACTCAGCTCTCCTCAGTCGATCAAGGAGGTTCAAAAGCTGATGGGGATGGCCGTTGCACTCAACAGGTTCATCAGTCGCTCCACAGATCGCTGCCGACAATTCTTTCATACCCTTCGACAGGGTAAAGCTTTTGAATGGACTTCCAAGTGCGAAGCCGCTTTGAACGGTTTGAAGACTTACCTCCGATCAGTTCCACTCCTGACAACACCTTCGGCAGGTGACCCGCTCATTTTATATCTGGTTGTTTCCAACCGAGCCATCAGCGCCGTACTGATAAAAGAAGAACTTGGGAAACAGCGTCCAGTTTATTATGTGAGCAAAGCAATAGTTGACGTCGAAACACATTACCTTCCATTGGAAAAACTCATCATTGCTCTCGTCATGGCAGCAAGAAAACTGATGCATTACTTTTAGGGGCATACCATTGGGGTACTAACGGACTACCCCCTCCGGTCAGTACTTCGTAGTACAGAAGCATCAGGGCGCGTTTCAAAGTGGGCTCTTGAACTCGGCCAGTACGATATTCAATTTCTGCCTAGGACCTCAATCGAGGGGCAAGTGCTTGCTGACTTTGTGGCCGAATTCACTGAAGGCCTCACCGACTTTAAGTCTGATCAAATTCAACCTAAGCCGAACTGGAGAATTTATGTTGGGGACATTTGGCAGTTGTATTACAACAGATCATCCAACCAACGTGGTAGTAGGGCGGGCGTAGTGATCATGGCTCCCGACGGGGCAATAATTGAGCAGGCTGCCAAACTAGGCTTCGAAGCATCAAACAATGAGACCGAATATGAAGCATTGTTAACCGGCTTACGGAATGCACTTCTCCTTGGTGCTTGGCGACTGCTTATCTTCTGCAACTCAAAGCTAGTCATCAACCAACTGAAAGGGGAATACGCAACCAAAAATGACCGTATGGCAGCTTACATGAAAACGGCGAATTCTTTACTGGCAAAATTCAACCATCATGAACTAAATCAAATAACCCGTGACCAGAACACACACGCCGACGCCCTGGCTTGCCTAGATTCCGCCATCAACTCAGAAATTAAACGGACAATCAAAGTAGGATTCATCCCTGAGCCGAGCATTGCCCCCTCAAAGTCAAGTCAGATCAACATCATACAATCCAGTCCAAGCTGGATGGACCCTATCACTGCATTTTATCTTCCGAACAGCTCCCGATGGACAAGAAAGAAGCGCACAAACTGCAAAACAAAGCCCTGCGATATTACCTAGATCCGCAGGGAATAAGAAATCCCTTTCTGGTCCATACCTAAAATGCGTTCATCTGGATAAAGTCGAAGAGCTCTTGATTGAAATACATGAAGGTAGTTGCGGTGCCCATTATGGTAGGCGTTCTCTGGCTCATCGAGCTGTAACACAGGGATACTACTGGCCAACCATGAGAGCTGATGCCGAATGCTACGTTAGGAAATGTGAACAGTGCCAGAAGTTTTCCCCTTTAACCCATTTGCCTGCTGAGGAGTTGAGCTCAATCATCAGCCCATGGTCGTTTGCTCAATGAGGGCTTGATATTATCGGGCCATTGCCACGGGCTCTAGGGAACAAGCGATTCTTGATAGTCGCGACAGATTACTTCACAAAATGGGTCGAAACGGAGGCGCTAACACACATCCGAGATACTGACATTAGGCGTTTCGTATGGAAGAATATCATAACGCGATTCGACATTCCAAGAGCACTCATTTCAGACAATGGCACCCAGTTTGATTGTGGAGTCTACCGAGAATTATGCAGCATGTATGGTATTCGACCCTATTTCTCCACCCCGACTTATCCATAGAGCAATGGTCGAGCAAAAGCCTCCAACAAAGTTATCTTGGACGGCATCAAGAAGAGGCCGGAGAAGGCTAAAGGCTGATAGGTCGAAGAATTGCCGAGTGTATTGTGGGCTCATCACACTACTCCGAGGCGATCCATTGGGGAAACGTCTTTTGCTTTATGCTTCGGAACCCAGGCAATCATCCCCCTAGAGATCGGCCTCCAACCTTGAAATCGAAAGTTTTTGATATGGGCCGAAATGACATGATGTTGGCCTTGGATTTGACTTTGATTGAAGAACGATGAGACCAAGCCCTTGTATCCATGGCACAGTATCAGCAACAGCTTGCTAAGTCGTATAATCAACGTGTACATCTACGCTGTTATACACCAGGAGAGTTGGTCCTCAAGAAAGTACTCTCAGCTGCCAGGAATCCAACTAACGAAAAATTGGGTCCTAATTGGGACGGGCCCTATCAAATCGATTTGATTGCGGGAACAGGGGCAAATCGGCTCAAAGATATGTCCGGGAGAAGTCTGCCGCGTCCTTGGAATTCCACACATTTGCGTAAATTCTATTATTAACCCGACTTGTGAGGCATGATAACTTGTTTTGGATGTTTGTCGTGTACAAACTTTCACTTTTATAATGCAAGATTACTTATCTCACTACATGAAATTCTAGTTTGAAAATGAAAGCCTCCAGATTCGGAGCCCTATCCGTGCAAGACATGCTTGGGCCAAATAAGCCTCCGAATTGGGAGCGCCCTTCGTGAATTTCACGATTGGCCAAGATAAAAGCCTCCGAATTCGGAGCCCTATCAGTGAATGACACTTTTGGGCCCACTAAGTCTCCGGATTCAGAGCGCCCTTTGTGGATTTCATGATTAGCCAAGATAAAAGCCTCCGAATTCGAAGCCCCATCCATGCATGACACTTTTGGGCCGACTAAGTCTCCAGATTCGGAGTGCCCTTCGTGGATTTCACGATTGGCCAAGATAAAAGCCTCCGAATTCGGATCCCCATCAATGAATGACACTTTTGGGCCAACTAAGTCTCCGGATTCGAAGCGCCCTTCGTGGATTTCACGATTGCCAAGGTAAAAGCCACCGAATTCGGAGCCCTATCCGTGCATGACATTTTTGGGCCGACTAAGTCTCCGGATTCGGAACGCCCTTTGTGGATTTCACAATTGGCCAAGATAAAAGCCTCCGAATTCGGAGCCCCGTCCGTACATGGCACTTTTGGGCCGACTAAGCCTCCGGATTCGAAGCGCCCTTCGTGGATTTCACGATTGGCCAAGATAAAAGGCTCCGAATTCGGAGCCCCATCAATGGATGACACTTTTGGGCCAACTAAGTCTCCGGATTCGGAGCGCCCTTCGTGGATTTCACGATTAGTCAAAATAAAAGCCTCCGAATTCGAAGCCCCGTCCGTGTAAGACACATTTGGGCCGAGCTCCGAATTCGGAGCGCCCTTCGTGTAAATCACGATTGGCCAATTTAAAAGCCTCCGAATTCGGAGCCCCATCCGTGCAAGACACGTTTAGGTTGAGTAAGCCTCCTAATCCGGCACACTTTTCATGGATATTATGATTAACAAGCATAAACGCAGTTGACAAAAAATGGAAGGTGATTGATAATACGTTTAAACATAAATTGAAACAACATGCCAACATTTAAACTAATATGTGTTATTGAATTAATCGATAGTACATAATTCGCTCCCTATTTACGTTAGAGCGGTACAATATCTTCAGTTTTAATCGGCATCCCCTTCGTCATTGCTCTTCTCGACTTCGAAAGTCGCAAAGGGAAAATGATGACTCTAATATAATGGTGACGCCAAATCAATGCCTGCTACCCGAAGAGCCTCTGCGGCCTAAAGAGCCATGACCCACCTGTGCTTAAATCCATAGTTCGACCTCCTCGACGAACTTTTCTTTAGTCTTTTGTATCCTGACTTTCTGACCATCGTGGAAGCCTTGTTCATAAGACCTAGCCTTTGTGGTCTCTATTGCAAACATGCTCATTGTATCACGATCAGCAATCGCATGACTTATAAGCCGTTGGGTCACCCTTTCATCCACAATCGAGTTAGCTTGTCCTGCCGACTGAGTCTTTGAGGTCTTGACCTTTTTTAACTCACGCTCGGCCTTCTCCGCGCGAGCCTCTAAACTTCGAATGCATTTATCCTTCTGTTCGATCTCCCGCTGCGCGGCGCAAAGGCGCATGCCGATCTCATAAGCGGTGTACAGTCCTTTCACCACTCCGTGAATGCCCTCTTGAAACACTTCGAAGTCTAGTCGACCAACCATCGACTGTTGGACTTCTTGAGGGAAAATCTGTCGTGCAAATTCAACTGCCACATTTGGGTCGTGCACAATCAAATCTGCTTCCGTCATTGATTTGTTCCCCACAAAAATCGTAGAACTCAACGGACGCGGAGTCGCACTAGCTTCTCCTCTCGAGCATGGTTGAGGGGAGCTGCCCGTTGCTATTTTTCCGTTCTGGGTGACCTACTTCGACGACGCGGGGACTGGCGTTTTTCACGTTCCCTCGACGTCCTGCTCCCCGTGCGCGTTGGCTCGCCACCTCAATTCATCTCTGCGTCCAACTCCGCGAGTGTCCTCCTTTCTCCTCTGCTGTTGAAGAATAATCTTCTTACCATCCACAAATTGTCCACACTGCTTTATTGACTCTGAACGCAACAATGGCCCCTCCACGCACCCACCATCCGCCCCATTTATACCTTACAGGTGCAGCACCCTCCCAAGATTATGATTTCACATCTATTTTTTAACAGTAAGTTTGAAAGGAACAAAAAATACCTAGAAAGGTCACATAACACCCAATATTTTCTTTCCCCCAAATCAGTCACAAATCGGTTGGTCGATGCAGATAATACATACAAAACCAAAATGGGGATAGTATTGAGAAAGTTCAAACCAACCCAAACAATTCTTATTGTAATTTCTAGGCCCATTATGCATCATAGCATATCAAACTTCAAATAACTGGCCCCCAGCATACTCAAAAGTACATTCAGTTAATCGGAGATTGTGTTAGGCAGCCAAGAAGGTAACTGAACCTCCAAATATTCAAAGCTAAGCTATACCATGTACAGTAATGATGAGGACAATGACTCCACAATGTCTGAAACTAAGCATACCTAGTTTAAGTAAATCGGTTTCACAGAGGCTACATTTTCGTGTTTACTTGTTAGTATTCAATCTCCTGCTAGTTTCCTCTGACCTTCTCCAAGTCGGGAAGATCTGCAACACATAATAAATGTAAAAATGACTTCAAAATTTATAACCCTAGGAAAAAAATGAACTGCAATCCAGTAAAAAATGCTTTCAGATAGACTATTGTTCAAGACTGCCCAGTGATAATCAAAAGAGAGAAACAGTATTTTAAAAAAAAATACGAGTAAGAAGGGAGGGAAGAGGTCCTGAGTTATCTCTTCCCTTTATTTTTTTTTCTTTCCTTTTCTTTTTCTACTTTAAAATGAAATGAATGAATGAAAATGTAAAAACTGAAACCATTCAATTCAAGTAGTAGTGGTAAATTTTGGAATAAAATCCCTCCATTCCATACAACAATGTTGGTCAGTAAGTAGATGATCTCCAGAAACTAGGTGCACGTATTTTAGAATTAATTTTGAAAAAAACCATTGAGTAGTGCAAGGTGTGGAATGCCAAAATGGGTGTATGCATGAAATAAGAACTAGCAAATATATATTCAGAAAGCAATTAAATATAACAGCTTCAATTTAATGAAGAGATCAGAATTTGAAACTCACAGAGCATTCCTTCGTCATCACTACTCCCATCATCTTCACCAGTATTCTGCCAACAGAGAAAAGGTCATATTAAATGATTGAACGACAAGACTTAATCACCCTATTATCAATATATTCAGAAGGGGGATCCAATTACCGCTACATCGTTATCAGAGGCAAGGTCAGCTGCACAGAAACACAAATCTTGAAGTCAAATCCACTGAATTGCTAATATTCAGGTTACATATTACCACACACAAAAAATAATCTATGGAGATGCAGATGCTAATGTAGCCTATGTGGTATTTCAAATACAATCAGTCGTTGAACTTGGAACAGTGAAGGCTGCAAAAACTAAGAACATTATGAATAGTGGTATCATCAGGATTGCTACACATTTTTGTTTATGGTGAAACATAACCAGTACTATGAAATCATTGTTCCTATTAATTCAAATAATCTATTTTGGAGAAAGGCCATTCACAATAGCTTGATATATAGAACCAATAACACAATAACCACCAACTGCAGAAAATTAGAAATGAAAAACAGAATAGAAGAAATAAATTAGTCTTCCATAGTATTATGCATCAGCCACAGCTATTCCAAAATAGTCCTAAAGGCAATGCCAGGCAGGCTCAGTGTGGGATACAAATCATGGTAAAAAAATCTTTATCTCCGTTTGTCTTGTTTCGCAAGCACAAATTAACTCATAGGATAGAAAAAGATGGAGGAAATGGAAAGATAGAGATGCTTATGTAGTGTTGTGGAACCCTAAAATTCTTGCCATCATAAAGTGAAGTTTAAAAAGGTGGCTACTAGCTCTACTAAAACTGGAAAGCATTCGACAAGGTCCTCTTCAACTCATGGGTAGGCCTCACAAACAGCAACCTGTTCCTTGCTCTAAATATGCTCCAATAAAACACATTAGTTAAATGTCTAAAGCTTTCTGACCATGAAATTTTTTGTAACAAGTTTTTCTTTTACATATTTTTTTTTCCGTAAGAGGGGGAGGGAGGTTATTGGTGAGAATGGGAAATAATCTACTTTGTAAGATCAATTACCAAAAGCTTGTCCTGGTTGGATGAGGAATCAGCATCAAGGGCAAAGCAATTCTGAATTTTATTTATTTATTTTGCTGATGAATTCTGAAGTTTTTAAAAATTGGAGTACTTATCTCTAGACAAAACAATAAGCAAGGATTTTTTTTTATCCCCCCCCCCCCCAACCCCCCAAAAAAAAAAAAAAAAAAAAAAAAAAAAACTCTTTATTTCCTCTTCTATTGTGGCTATTTCTTTTTTATTTTCTTTAATTTTATAACAATCTTTTCTTTTTTTTTTACCATGTAAATTCACATATTTATAAGTGATAAAACTCTCACTATTTACCACACCATGTGGTTTACCACATGGCATACCACACTTCCTATATTGTAAAACTATCCCTTATTTTCACTTTGGCCAAAAAATTCATTAGAATTCCAATTGCATCTCTTTTGATGATTATCTAAATATTTCACAACACTTCCCCTTAAATAACCATATACTAAGAATATGCCTAGTTAAAACTTACCAAGGAAAACTCAATAGGAAAAAACCTTTGGCGAAAGAAAAAAAAGTACAATATTATTGTATGTGATTTGTTTGGATTGTCTTGTTAAAACCTTGCTAAGGAAAATTCAGTGGGAAAAAATATTAGACGAAGGAAAAAGAGTACGATCTACAAATTTGCTTAAATAGATGACTCCCTCTCAATGCTGCATAATGGATCTTTATGTCGACATATCCCAATATTATGCACCGGACATCTTGAATGTTGTAGTCGATAGTACTTTAGTAAATAAATCTGTCAAATTATCACTTGAGTGTATCTTTGATATAGCCACCTTTAATTTGTGTGATGTATGCAGCATTGTCTTCATGTAATATGGTTGCACTATCTTTGTTGAAGACAATCTGCATCTTTCTTGAATATGATGGATCATGGATCTAAGCCAAATACATTCTTGACTTGCTTCATGAATTGCAAGTATCTCTGAATGATTTGAAGAAGTAGCCATCAATGTTTGTTTCATTAATTGCCAAGATATAGCAGTATTTCCATAGGTAAAAACATATCATGTTTGTGATCTGACTTTATGTGGATCAGAGAGATATCCAATATCTACATATCCAATTAGTTGCGGCTTTGATTCATTTAAATAAAATAAATCCATATCAGTTGTTCCATGAAGATAAAGTAATATTTGCTTCACTACATTCAATGTTTTCAGGTTGATACATAATTATATCTTGCAAATAAATTGACTACAAATGCAATATTGGGCTTGGTACAATTTATAAGATACATAATAGCACTAATTGCATTGAGATATAGTACTTAAGGACTAAGAATTTCTTCACCATTTTCTGGAGGGTGAGAAAATCATTAGAGTATTTAATGGAAGAGCTTTTTCATATAAAGGTGCTTCAGGACTTTTTAATTGATGAACAAGAATTCCATTTAGCAAATGTTCGATCTGCAGGTCGATACAAAATTTCGTTTTGCTAAGATCTTTCATTTTAAATTTATTTTAAATATTCTGCAATTTATGTAAGCTTTTTTGGAGTTCCACAAGATTCAAAACTTTAATATATACCGTAACAATTGCAAATTCGAATTCCTCACTTTTGGGTTTTGAATTAAATGCTCCTGGCATCTTATATCCTTCATAAACTCATCTATATATATATATATATATATACATATCACTATCTAGTGATTCATATAAATATGTTGTAACTACATCTATTAGAAGCATATCTAAATTTTCTGTGATTACCAAGCTAATAAAAAATCTAAATGTAACTGCATCCATTGCGGGTGAATATGTTTTCTTATAATCAATACTAGATCTCTGCAAGAAACCTTGCGCAACACGTCGTGCTTTATATCTTACAATTTCATTTTGCTCATTGTGTTTTCAAACAAACACCCATTTATATCCCACATGTTGTATCCCTTCAGGGGTTTAGACTACATGTTCAAATACTTCACGTTTTGTAAGCGAGTTTAACTTTGCTTGTATAGCTATTTTCCACATTGGCCAATCATTTCTCTATCGACATTCCTCGATAGTTTATGGTTCATTGTCATCATCACTTTTGATAATGTATTCAACATTACTTCTGGTACTGTCAAGAGCAACTTTAAACAAAAATTTGTTCTCCACAACAATTTGATTTCTATCCCAAACTTCTCCTGTACACATATAATGTATTGAGGTCTCATTATTTTTAAGTACCTTTTCCATTTCAAGGAATAACTCTTCAAGAGATTTCTCTTCTAGAGGTTCTTCTTTTGGAGGTTCATAAGTAGGAGATTTGGATAGACTTGCTATAGCCTGTTTTGTGGTTCTAACCTCTTCAGGGGTGCTTTCATTTATGGGTATGATCTCTCCAGGAGATCCATTTATGGCTTCTTCTAAAGTACCAACTATTTGTTCTTGAGTTTTCCTCTTTCGAGGAATTTTTTCTTTTGCACCGATGGGTCTCCCATACTTCTGGCATCCCTTAGACTCATTTGCTACTATACACACTAATTGTTCGACAAGAACATCAATTCTTGTTGGGGTATTAACTACTGGTATGTAAAATTTTGTCATATTTTTTTGTATCAGTGAATACATCCAGTAACTGATTTACAATACTTTGCAAATGAATGATCTTTTAAACTTCTAGTTCACATTGATTAGTACGAGGATCAAGGTGAGATAACGTCAAAGTATTCCAAGTGATTTCTTGTCGAGCTTCAGGCTGCGACTTGTCTCTCCCTAATGATGGAAAAATTGTTTCATCAAAATGACAATCCTCAAATCGTGCCTTAAACATGTCACCAGTCAAAGGTTCTAGATATCTAATGATTGATGAAGAATCAAAACTAATATAAATTCCAAGCCTACGTTGTGGACCCATTTTAGTGCGCTGTAGAGGTGCAATAAGAACATAAACCGAGCAACCAAACATTCTAAGGTGACTAACATTTGATGGTTGACCAAATACAAGTTGTAATGGGAGTACTCATGATATGTAGTTGGTTTGAGAAGAATAAAAAATGATGCATGCAATATGGCATGACCCCATGCTGAAACATGTAATTTCCTTTTCATAAGCAAAGGCCAAGCAATCAACTGAAGTCTCTTAATGAAAGATTCAGCTAAACCATTCTGGGTATGAGTATGTGTAACAGAATGTTCAATATCAATGCCAATAGATATGCAATAGTTATCAAATGCTCGGGATTTAAATTCACTAGCATTATCAAGACGAATTGTTTTGATATGATGGTTTGGAAAATGTGCTCTCAATCTAATTATTTGAACAATGAGTTTGGCAAATGCAACATTACGTGTAGAAAGTAAACAAACATGTGACCATCTAGTTGATACATCTATTAAAATCATAAAATAACGAAATGGTCCACAAGAAGGGTGTATGGGTCCATATATATCCCCTTGAATTCTTTGCAGAAATGGTGGAGATTTAGCAATAGTGATGGTCTGGTAATTAGTTTCCCATGTGAACAGGAAAAATATGGATAATTACTTAATAAAAAAATCTTTTGATTCTTTAATGGATGTCCATGTGAATTTTTAATTATTCAACGCATCATTATAGATTCCGAATGCCCGAGTCGGTTGTACCATAACATAAATGTTTTTGGGTTAGAGCATTTCTAGTGCATGACAATATGTGACTCAATCATTTTTATTGTCATATAATATAATCTAGATGAAAATGCACGAAGTTTTTCTAATACTAGCATCTAGCTAGAATTAGTTGAAGTGATCAATAAATACTCTTTATGGCCTTAATTTATAGTTTCAATATGATAATCATTATGACGTATATCTTTGAAACTTAACAGAGTTCTTATGAATTTGGTAGAATACAAAACTTCATCAATACAAATTTTTGTTCCATTAGGCAACATAATATTGGCACTTCCGGAGCCCTCAATTAGGTTTGCAGAACTTGAAATTATATTGACATTAGCTTTTTTCATGACTAGTTGTATAAGATATTTTACGTCACGTAAAATTGTGCATGTGGTTGCACTGTCCACTAGACAGATATCATCACCAATCATTTTTGAGTTAGTCAATGCATTAATGAAAGTCATGCCTACAAAAAACTGAAATTCATTATTCTCAAAACTTAAAGCAAGAAAATACAAACTATTAAACCTAAAAATACAAATTTCAAAATCATAATCAAAATAGGATAATACATCATGATATTTAGAAAATCAAGCTAATCAGTATGAACATTTCCATCACCAATTAAATGGTCAATTTTTCCTTCGGAATCTTCAAAGAAATCGAAAACATCAAGATGTGTGAAATGTATTTCAATTCCTTTTCCTTTTCCTTTTTCTTTTATCAAGGCTTGATAAAGATCCACTAAATATTTAGGCGTACAACAGGTACGCGACCAATGCCCTGTTATGCCACATTTGTAACAAGCATTTTCATAATTCTTGGGGGATTTATTCTGTAAACATTTGCCATTTTCTTGTGATGTTCTAAAATTATTCCACTC